GATGGACTGCATTGTAAATATCGTTTCGAGAGTCTATAACTGCTATCGCGCGTAATCTATTCGATGGGACAGACGGTGAGGTTCTTCGCTGTTACTCTCACACGCCGTCCCTGGACCATGTTCAACCACCGTCCATAATTCTTTTCCCTCGATCATCTCGATCCCTTTTTTCCATGATTCGAGCATTCATCGGTATGTTTGCTGCATCCACGGTGTCGATGCACTTAAAGGGAATTCTCCGAGGATCTACCGTGAAGAATGCATCGCTCGGGAATCGAATTAGAGGTTAGCACGTTTTACGGCGGTAACAACGTCGAGATATAATTCGAAGAATTGTTGCAGAGGCGCCAGTCCACAACAGTCGCGGTCGTTTACGTCGCGTGTTTCGAAGTATGTTGTCGAGCAAACTCGGTTTCCACTAGGGGAAAAAGTAGCGTAGAAGAAAAATCTTCTACCACTTGGTAAATTTATTCCAGGTAGTGAAATAAATGTTAAATTGAATGTCAATTTGGCATAAATTTCAGTAATACCAAATGGTAGGAGGTCCTTTCTCTACGTTACTTTTTCCCCTAGTGGAAGCCGAGTTTGTTCGTCGGGGTATGTATGAAACTAGCGAGCGAGGAAAGGAACGTTGAAAGACGGTTCGCTTTGCGTAACGTGGTCTATGGAAATCGTTTATTAGACGCATCATTGACAGAAGAAGAGGAAGAAGGAAAAGTAGAAGAAGAAGAAGAAGTAGAAGAAGGAGAATCAATCGAAGTAGAAAAAGAGCCGAGAACAGACGAAGCTCTCGCGTTACAGTATATCGATGGTGGAGGAAGTAAGGTGCGTGAGATGTAGGTATACAAAGATGGCTTCGTTTCGGCGCTGGTAGCCGATTCGGATCTGATCAGTTTCGTCTGTTGGGCAAGGCTGACACGCAAGCGACGGCCACCGACATCGGCTTCAGCTGCCACTTGTAACGAAGCGATTCTGGAAGCGGGGTTTCCAGCAACGCGGCATCCTCCGAGTACCGATCCTCGGACGGTGAACTGTTCATCTCGCGCTGCTTCAACACGTGTACCTACGTAAAAATGAAGAAAAAAAAGAATGGGACGTGAGGAGATCGTTCGGACAGCGGGCAGTAAGGGAGGAGGGGTATGGAAGGAGAGGTTAGGTCGAGCTGCGTTACCATATAGTGGATCAACCTGCACGCGTGAAATTTGCTTTGACAGGTTTTCGGCTTGCAGCGTGACGTGGTCAAGTATCTCGGATAATGACCCTCCCCGAGATCCTTGATGTCGTACTGAGACTCGCAAGAGCAGGCCGACTGTGAACAATACCCGAAGCACGATTAGGCGGGAAGGTGTTTGGTGTACCCTCGCGAACAAACTCGGCTTCCGCTAGGGAAAACAGTGGCGTAGTAGAAGGGCCTCTTACCGAGTACTGAAAGAAATATTAATTTGTCATAAATAGACTGCGGATTTTATGGATTTATAGCCTGTAGGTCTCCGTAAAATATGATGAAGTACGAAACATTCGTCACATACAACGAGTTCTCTATTTCCTTTAGAGCCCAATAAGATACTTAAAGAATGAAAGAAATGTCCACTTTTGTTTTTGTCTTTATGAACAACACCCCTAAAATGTGATTTTGCATAAAAATCCGCAGTCTAGTCATAAATTTCAATAGTTTCCGATACCAAGTGGTAGAAGGCCCTTCCCGTACGTTACTTCTTCCCCTAGTGGAAGCCGAGCTTGCTCGTCAGGGTACGGTTGATACCGTAGTTGCGCGGGCCCGTAAGTAGAAGCAGCTAAAGTATAGCCTGGCTGCGTTTCAACGTACTCTGGTCACCAGACGTATTCTCGAAGGGGAGGATTCGCGTTCGGTCCGAGGGCCGACGTATACCGGGACTCGTTTCTCTTGATCCGTAGCCACCGTTTCGTAGAGCAACGGTGAGTCTCCGTTCCACGAGGTAAACAACTGGTTGGAGGTTGTCTCGTCGTCCCGTTCCATGGACGTTTCGACGTGTGTAGGGTGCTGCTGTTGCCAGCGTTGCTCCTCCTGCCATCGAGCCAGAACCGACGACGATGAATCCGCGACGCATAGCTTGTGCAGCATTATCTGATACAAGAAAATACGATCGTGCACGCCGATATTCGATGGTCCCGGGCTGTTCGTTACTTACGCAGACGAACAAGATCTTCATGTTTCTCTATACGCGATCGATGTGTATCGCGAGATGCCGCAACCGATTCGCAACAGGGCAGACCTCCGGTCGACTGAACGATCTCACCCTTGGACCGCAGGTCTTATATGGGAGACCGCAAATGCGAAAATTTCGACGGGAAAATGCGGAAGGAACACCCCCGACCAAGGTGCCCACGTCTCGGATCTCTGACATGACGAAAGAATCCATTAGCGTCACACGATCTCTTTCGAAGGTGCACGGAAGGGGTGTCTTTTGTTCCGCCGTGACATTCGACGGAATCTTTTATCGAAATGTAACCACCCACGAGGTCGTGGTGGACGGCAAGAAACCGGTCGTTGTTCTCCCTTGCACGCGGTGAAACACCGGTCCTGTGTGTATACGTTTTATCCGACGATGGAGAATCCGTCGACGGGAATCGTTGCTGGTGAACTTTGATTCGTCGTCGATCGGTCGACTCGGCCGACGCCGTATCGTCACAGGCCTAGTCGAGCGAGAACATTTCTCCACTCGTACGCTAGTGCCGAGTTAACCCGTTCCGCACGATTGAATTTGTTTGGATGCGTCGGACAGGTCGTTCGTGATCGTACTCCGAATCCTAATCGCGAAACGCGTTCGTAAACACGCTCGGTCGCGTGCCACGCACTTTTACCTTTCACGGCCTCCAGGATTTATTTTCTGCACTAGATACGAGCAAGATCGATCGCGCCCGTCCGACCATCATCGCAACAAATTACTCAGGGCACGCGCCCACCCCTTCGTGCGTCTATGTACATGTACGTATAACGTATATGTCACGGTAAACGCGTGAAGTTTCGTAAATGTATATGTCACGGTAGAAACGTGAAGTTTAGTAAATGTACAGTGGGGGACAAAAGTATTGAGCGGACAAATGGCTGTTCACAATCGAAGTATCGATTTTCGCCAAAAAATCGTTCATTTGTGATCTATAAAATAGAAACTACAAAATGAAATACAAAAAGCCACGATCATACACGAGATCTTTATGCATAGAATGAGTCTACTAAAGCTGAATCAGATATTTCTTCTGTAGATATTTTGGTCCCCGATTTTGAAACAGCGGACAAATGGCTGTTCACAATCGAAGTATCGATTTTCGCCAAAAAAATCGTTCATTTGTGATCTATAAAATAGAAACTACACAATGAAATACAAAAAGCCACGATCATACACGAGATCTTTATGTATAGAATGAGTCTACTAAAGCTGAATCAGATATTTCTTCTGGAGATATTTTGGTCACCGATTTTGAAAATGTGATTTTTAGAAAAACACGTTTAAAGTTTCAAGTCAGGTTTACAATCAATGCAAATTTTTTATATATAATTATTCTTAGTATTACGGCTTCATATAGCCTTGTGTATTTACTGACACAACCATAAATTGCATTGGGGCACAGTATACATGACTCACGCACCCCTAAAAAGAAATTCCCTTCCGTGGACGACACTGCTACAACCACTTTATATTTTTTCTTGTAGGGTGGGATAAAAGTCAACGTTAACTGAAATATTGTTCGCACAGTTACATATTCTGGTCAAAAGGTCTGTTAACTTTCGGTTAGTTCTAAAATTGATTATATATTTTTTTATTTATTTAGTTATTTAACGGGTATAAATCCAGTATACACATAACATCAATACATTATGCAGTATGGAATTAGTTGTGATAGGAACATTTTTAATAAAATATCAACTAAGATTAAACAGTTCCTAGTACTCTATGTAGGGTTACCTTAAAGTATTCAATAGAGCCACTGGAAAAGTCCATTTTTACTGTACCATAATAAAATATATGATTCTTCCTAACACACCTTGAACGAGCACAAAAGTAAACGAGCTGTAACAATTGAGGACATGAGATCTAACCATTTATAAGCTTGATTAAGAAAGAAAGTATATTTTTCCAGTTAGATTCGTCATTCGGCCCACTATGCGTCGGTTGGTTCGTTCGAGGGATGACCCGGGAGCATCATCGGGCTATAAGTATTTGCGGCCGGGCGTGATAAAAGCGTCGGTGGGCCGATCGCATAATGGCATTCGGAGGCGTCGTCGGCGTCGTCATTCGTTCCGTACTATCGCGTCCGTGGCGCGTGCGTTCTCGCGCCGCTTCACCCCCTGACCGTCGGATGTCCTCTATATATTTGAAGGGAAACACGAGAAGGACTCGTACACGGCTGGCGATTTTCGGCGTGCGAACACGTTACTCGACCGATTGGAACACTCGATCAGCTCACGGACTCGCGATGACGATACTCGGTAACTGCGCATCTTCGTTCCTCCTCTGGTCGATCGCGATCGCTTGGGTGGCAGCCGTACCTGCACAGGTAATTTTTCGAACGACTATTTCGCGGTTCCGTGCTGGGACGCTGCTGGGCGCTCGATGACCGTTTGTTTTCCGTGGTCTTCGTCAACTTGTTGCGCCGAGCCACGCGCACTTGGAGTAAATGTCCCAATTACTGTCTCTAATAACGTCGGTTTATTTATTTTACAAAAATGTAACGTATAGAGAATTGCGAAGAAAAATACTTTATTATTAAATTTCAACTCTGACTTGCGTGAAAACTAGGAAATACATGTGCTTGTATGTATTTAGAAATGGGTATTGGTACTCGGGTACTCGGTTGCCTTCATAAGGGTTAATATCGCGACTACGTGAATAGAAAATGATGGCGAAATCAGATTAAAGAAGGAGCTGGAATTTTACTGTTCAACCTGTGTCTATTGTATAAAATGAATCGTTCAAGTATAGAAGAATTACATTTATTTTTGAGGTAACAGTTATGGAAACACTGGGATTACTCGCAAATTTTAATGAATTATTAAGTAATCCTTCATATTTAATGTATAAAACAATTTTTGTTAACGAAAGAGATGTTAAATAATATTATGTTCCAAACTGAGATGATTTTTAAGTTGAACAACACGTGAAATGATTAAATGAGGTTACGGTATAAATTGGGACATTTACAGTGCCATTTACAGTACGATTCCCAGTGACTACAGATATAATAAGACTGCTGCTTTTATGAAGTCACTATACCTCCACTATACGCGGTAATCGACCAGCACGTAACAAACCAAACCGTACAACCTAACCTATAACCGTTACTCGCATATCCTCGAAACGGATGTCCTTCGCGATAGCGGGTACCGCCGTGGCGCACCCCCACACCTGAATCGTGTCATTATCGTTCGTCCATCGGTCTACAGTAAACCATACTCAGTGCAGCACGAAACGTTTCGTTAAAAAAACGGTAACGAGTTCCGATTAGATTCGATCGTTACAAGCGAGTCGACATTGGGAAAGTCGTGTATGACGCCGTACATACGCTATTTAGCGAGGAACAAAGTTATCGTGGAGGTTCGCAAAACTCGCACGAATCCCCAGTTGACCGTAATTTTAGTTGCAGACTGGAAGGAGCGTGTTGCGGCAAACAATCTACGGGCCGACGGCCGCGGAGATACTCGCCGCGTACATCCAGGACCACGGTAAGCTCGAACTATCCTTCCATTCGTTCACGTTCGTGGCTTTGTCGAAATGTTTTCCCGTGTTGCTGGACTGTCCACACGTTTTGTCGTTGCGTGACCGCGATCAGTCGTGCCGATCGCTCGTCCGTCCGTCGTCCCATGCTTCTCGTTCACGTTCGTAAGTGGAATCGGTTGGCCGATACTGTATCGGTGGTACCGGGTCAGCAAAGCTGTTCGATAATTTTAGGTCCAACGGAGCAAAAGGCTGCGGGCGAAGGTGACCCGTCACGGGATCGTTTCGATGTTCGACGGCTGTCGAAAGGACTCGCTGCGATGACGGGTCCGACCACGGAGACCGCGGACCACGCGCGATTATCGAGAAATCGGTTGCGTGAACTTCGGGACGGCGACGGGGACTACTCGGAAACCGGTGCCGCGAGGCTCCAACGAAATCTGGATCAAATCGGTGGCGGTAATCTGTTGCGGAGAGGGCTGCGCGAACGGGAGACCGGATATCCGACAACCGATTATCCCCGATGGCTGGCCGCACGACGGAATCTCGATCAGATCGGCGGCGGGAATTTGCTGCGCGACACGGACGATCGGTTCGGTCGGAACTTGGATCAGATCGGTGGCGGGAATCTGGTGCGAAGCTCGACCTATCCACGGGACGGTCTGCGACGGAATTTGGATCAGATCGGTGGAGGGAATTTGGTGCGGGATTTGGCTCGTGTCGTACGCGAGTTCGAGACCGAAACGGGACAGAGACGATCGCCGAACTGGTACGACCCGTTCGATGACGCACGCGAACCGTCCGACGGGACTCGTTCGCCGGTCGAGCGGGCCGAGCCGTAAACGAACGCGACCCGACGTCGTGGGCTCGGCGATACTTGCGTATATAAGTAGTCGAATACGTAGCGTTTCCGAGTATAACGGACGATAAAGAGTCCAGCGTCGATCCCTTTTGTATCGAATCCGTTTCAACAGGCAATAAACATCGTACGTACGAATATATTCACACCATCGGTGCAACGTTCCTTCCCTGTTCTTATATTCCGTTGTCTTCGCGTTGGTTTCGTTCGCTCGTCGGGTGGACGAGCCGACCCGCGTAGAGATCTCGATTACACGTGCATATAAATAATATATCCGTGTAGTTTTTAATACACGGGTAATAAAATTACAACATACTCACTTCGCTGTTCATAAAATAAAAACTGAATAGCAACAATATATTTGACGCCTCGTTCTCGAAAAAAAAAACTATGAAGATGTGGTCTCATTATTGCTATTGGTGAATCCTGAGTTCATACAATAATTGTGTAGTTTTAATACACGTCCAGAACCATGATCTCTAGGCCGACCGATGCGAGCAACGCGAGGGGGCGACATCCCTTAATCGTTTCCGAATTTCATTCAAGATGGACCGGATCCACGGGACTCGGTGGACGGGCTCGGTGCCCGTCAAGATCCACGTTTCCACGCGATCGACTCTGGAAAAACATTCGATCCCGTCCAAAGACTCTCAACCGGCAGGTAAGAAAGTTTCATGGGCGTAGCCACGGCGCGGGGGTGGCAGGGGATGTACTTGCCCCACCCCCTGGACGGAAAAAATTGGATTTTGTCCCACCCCCCTCCCTTCTCAGAGTTACAAAATTTTTGCGTAATATTTAATATTAACTTAAAAAGAAATAAGACTTTAAAACCAAAATAAAGTGTGTCTGACTACGTGCAGCCTTTTTCACTGTGGCAGTCGATAGGTTAATATTTTTGCCCCCTTCGCTCCTGATTGATAACCTGGCTACGCCCATGGAAAGTTTCATAAGTTTTGTCGACGAATCGTTCGAATTCACTATCCGTTGGTTTGTTCGCAGCAGACGGCTCGATGATGCCTCGAACGATCGCGGCTCGATCGTGAATCGGATCAATATGTCGGCGCTCGAACGGTTCGCCAAGCGAAACATCGACGAGATCGATCGGACGGCTTTCGACAATTTCTTCAAGAGAAATTTCGACGAGATAGATCGCGTTGGCTGGAGCGGTTTCGTCAAGAGACGATCGGATACCCGCGAACGAACCGGTTAAGGTAGCTTCCGTGTTCGGTGTCGTATTCCAGCTGGGGCTTTCCATATGGCGCTTTATACTTTTGATCAAATTTCCCAATTTAATTGGAATGATTGGTATTTTATAACTACTTCAAGATACTTAACCCCTTGCCCTATAACATCCCCAGATAACACATGACTTCTAATGATGCCTTGAAGACGGCTTAAAGGCGCCTCAGGCCTAAAATAGCCGTAACATGGGCGTCTTTTTTCAATTTTCAAATAAGTAGAAGAAACAAACATTTTTATTGTAAAACAAAATTAATTTGTTTTTCAATTTCTCAGAAAAAATTGTAAATATTATTTAGTAGTACTTTTATAACACTTTCGACTAAATTTATAATTATTAGAAATTTCCGGAAGCCACTTAAACCAGTACTCGGATACGCGAACACCTCGAAGAGCTACCTTTTCCCGTTTTCCGTCTTGTACACAGATTTCATGACCATTCCGATCGTTTAACATCGTCGTCGTCGTGATCGTTCCAGGATACGTTTTTTCTTCCCTCATTGTTTCCTCTCGTTCATCGCCCACGTCGACAACGACAACGTTCGGTTTTGCTGTTCGAATTACGACTTCAACAACAATCGTCGTTATTTATAGTCGTGCGCTCGCGTGTTTTTGTCCTCGCAACCTGTGTAGCAACGATGAAAAAATAAACGATAAACGTGGCAAACTGTATATTTCTTTCCTTCGACGGAGGTAAAATATGGTGTTAAATTCGGCGACTATGATTCTCGTTTCGCCTCTGCTCCAGAACCGATCGCCGTCGGCGTTGTCGGTTTCATCTGCTCGCCGAGAAGTCGGACTTCCGGCGTGATGGGGGTTCGAGGTCGATCGAACGCGATTTCCCGTGGACCACAGGTCGAAAATTTTGACAACGCAGTCCGATGAGTGGTGAGGGTGTCGCGAACCGTAGCAATTCCGTCTCTGGTATCTCCAGCGCGTTGCTCTTCTCGCGTCTCCTTTCTTTTCTCCTCTACAGCTGCGATGATCCTTCGGATCTCCTCGTTCACGTTCTCGGGTGTCTCGATCCTGACGCTCTCCCTGTTGCGATCCATCCGAACCAACTGACCCTCCGGAAAATTATTCGTAATTAGATGGTACTCGAGTAACCATTCGGTCGCGATCTAAAAAAAATTGAACGATACCTCTATGACGGTCTCTTCCAGCTCCGCGAATCGTCGTAACACCGTGGCCAACTTCGAACTCTGAACGGTCAATCGATCGGTGATCCGCAATTCCTCACCTACGTCCCCTTCAATCTGAAACAATTATAACCACGCTTTATACTCGCGTAGCTGCGTATTTATTCATGTTCACCTTAACAATAGGTTTACGGGTGACGTCATTCTTATGGATTTCGAATTTTAGAAGGACAATTAGAGAAACCGTTTACATTTCTTTCCTACCACTTCCCAGATATTTTGGTTGTAAGCGCCTTTAAGTCTTTTATCCATTTAACGAGACTATTATTAGGTCTACCGGAAAGTTCAGTCCGTTTTTTAATTAAAAAACAATAATACAGTTCAGTAAATGCGCGATTCCGTTCAGGCGTCAATTCGACGCGTGTCAGTAGAGATAGGTAATACAAGAAACGTCCGTAAACCCATTGTTAATCCGCCTCTAAACGCACCTCATCCATTCCCTTGACCACTTGCTCGCCGATGTACTGGATATTTTCGCGCGCCCGACGAACCTGTCCCACGCACGGATAACATTACACCTAATGCGTCTAACTGCCAGCGATCGATCGATCACCGATTCGAGTATACGTTACGGTCGAGGCGAATTCCCTCATCTCCGTCATGATCTTGCGTCGCAATCTTATCGCTGCTAAAAACTAAACCCGACGAGTTACCATTTTACCTGTTTTTTTTCCATTTCGTTTCGACTCTGATTGACCACGTGAACTAGCGAAAAGAATGTTCGAGTAGCTTACGCGCCGGCAGACGTAGAACAAGATCGCTATGCTCGCGATCATGGGAATCACGCTGCCGAACAGTTGATGTATCGGACGCATCATTTCGTGGATTGTTGTGGAACTGGTATGGATGGATCGACGATATGGATTTCTTTCGGTAAGGAATGTTCGGACCGCCTTTAATTACCGAACTGCTCGACGACCCTTTTTCCTAGTTACATCATGGTTATCCGACGCGACGTTTGCCCGAGCCTCTCTGAAGTTCACCGAGGAAAGCAAACTAATGAATATCGTGGCGAAAGAGACAGCCTACGCATCTGAACATTGCAAACCCGCGTTTATCGTGTCTACCCCAGCCTTTCGTTGCAATGTTCATTACGTTCGTTTATACATATAATATTATGTATCTATAAAAGGGTCATAGGCACAAGACCGAGACAGAGTATTGGGGAAATATCGACGATACGCCGGTAGAGAGAAGAAATAAACGGGAAAACTGTTCTTCGAACTGGAAAAGAAGGTTCGAAAGCAGTGGCGTTGTAAAATCTCGTTGAAGGGTTAGAGGAGGGACGAGGCGACGTTCGACCCGCGTGGCGCCGCCACCAGTATCAGTGATGTGATTTCGCGCACGACCGTTTCGAGCGCAGCGCTAACCACTCTGCGACAATTCCGCTCCTAGAATCGCCAAAAATATGCAAAAGTATGAGAAACTCGAGAAAATAGGAGAAGGTACGTGTTTCGAATTTTCTCGCCGTTGCTTCGCCTCGTATCTCCAGCGACGAGTTTTGAATACGTCTTCTCGTTCGAAGAACCAAGACACCGCCGACGAACATTCGTTTGACAGCTACCGCGCGATGGACGACGGGTTTACACGACCGCCTGCGAAATCGACTTACCGTTGTAATTTTCTCCGTGTTTTTCAGGCACCTATGGGACCGTTTTTAAAGCCAAGAATCGCGAAACACACGAAATCGTTGCGCTGAAAAGAGTACGTTTGGACGAAGACGACGAGGTGAGTTTCCGCTAGCGGTAGCTTTGTCAACAAACATCTCGAAACAGGCTTGGTCTTCTGTGACACAAGATCATTACGGACCAAAGTCAGCTTGGACTGTTTAAGCTTCTTACAACGAAGTGCAAGTCCGAACGAATGGTTTGATTAACCATCGCTAGTTTCCGCCAATAACTCTGAACGAGCGATGCTTAGAACTTTCTGCGACGCTTAGACACATCTTTTTCTCTATTGGACAGGGTGTACCGTCGTCAGCGCTCAGGGAGATTTGCCTGCTGAAGGAACTGAAACACAAAAATATAGTCAGACTGTACGACGTGTTGCACAGCGACAGAAAACTAACGTTGGTCTTCGAGCACTGTGATCAGGACCTGAAAAAGTATTTCGACAGCTTAAACGGAGAGATAGATTTAGACGTAGTCAAGTCCTTTCTGTAAGATATGTTTTCACCAGTCCCAGTTTCCAAGACCAACGACCTAAGCCTGTCTGATGATTCCAGGTATCAGCTGCTGCGTGGGTTGGGCTTCTGTCATAGCCGAAATGTCCTGCACAGAGATCTTAAACCTCAAAACTTGCTCATCAACAAGGTAGGACTATACCCCTGTTGGATGGACAGTTATGTCTGGCTCTGGGGATTGATTCCGTATTGGTTTCCAGAACGGGGAGCTGAAATTAGCCGATTTTGGACTGGCCAGAGCGTTTGGGATTCCCGTGAAATGTTACTCGGCAGAGGTCGTGACGTTATGGTACCGTCCACCAGACGTTCTTTTTGGAGCGAAATTATACACAACGTCTATAGACATGTGGAGCGCGGGGTGTATATTCGCTGGTAAGCAACCATAGGGTACTTTCAGGAAAGCATTAATCAGTCTAGTCGGTTCACTCTCATCGACGTTTGCTCGCAGAACTGGCGAATGCGGGCAGACCGTTGTTCCCTGGCGCAGACGTGGAGGATCAATTAAAGCGGATATTTAAGATGTTGGGCGCGCCCACCGAGGAAATGTGGCCCGACTTTACCACGCTTCCCGACTACAAACCCTTCCCCCCCTACCACCCTGGGCAAGGATTGGTTTACGCCACGCCGAAACTCAATTCCAGGGGCAGAGATTTGTTGCAGGTAACGAACGTGTGAACGTTTCGAGTTGAATCAAAACGCGTGGTGAATGGTTGTTCGATTCTGATTTCAGAGACTGTTAGTGTGTAATCCTGCGCTGCGATTGTCAGCGGACGAGGCAATGGCTCATCCCTATTTCAACGATTTGAACCCTGCCATAAAGAATGATCGTTGCCAATAGCGAAAATCATGTTAGCTCGACGATCCGAGGGCGTGTATCGAAAGGTAGCGCAGCGGCCGAAATCACTTCGGTAATGATGGTTTGTTAATATATAAATATTCCTATTATTATACAAGTGTACGTCGGATTCGGTACGTCGTCGGTCACCGCCGATGCAAAATAATACACCGACGAGTCCTGTTTTTTAACTATGTCCAGCGGTAACGAGAATCAGAATTGCCCATTCTCTCAGTGATAGTAATTTTGTATGGATTCGATATGGGGGAGAGAACGTACAGAGCCACTGTACAAATTGCCAAAATCGCTACGAAATCGAAAACGGTGCGCGCGTCGCGTACCATTCCTGTACATTTCCGTGTTCGTTTTCTTCCTCGCGTTTAGTTACTTTCTGCTACACATTTTTCCATCCATCGGAAGTCCATCGATCGATTATTTTTATTATTTATTTACCACTTATGAGATAACTTACACGTCGAGGGATTAAATAAATACGTTTCTTAACGACTATTGAACAACTGACACTCTCATTTCTGCTTCCATAGTTTACATAGCATCAAAATGAAATCTGTGCGCCTCCTGCAGCCTTTCGATCTTGTCCTCCCTGCGTTCCTTCCAATACAAAGCGACGATAATAAATGATATCAAGCCGCAAGTGCCAGTCAACGCGGCAGCGCTGAGCAGAATTAATTTACTGGGTGTTACGAATAGCTGCGCCTTCCATTTCCATGGTTCCGCTATCGGATTCGGAATGACGACCATCTGGGAATTTGGAATGATCTGTGGCCACTCCCGAGACTTGCCACCAACCTGTTTGAACAGAGGAACAATGGGTCAAGTGGACAAATAAAATGAAGAAAATAAAAGAAGAAGCAGCAGAATTAGATTAAAAAGGAATACCCCTGTTCGCTTACCCCTATTGTCAAAGCGTCGACGAAGTTTGGTGTCCTACCCAGACCGAATGTCGTGTAGGGTAAGTTCAAGAAAAGAGAAGATATGCTATCGACGGACCTGGGAGATTCGTTCCGTAAGTTCTCTTCTTCTTACCAAGGGATCCAGGGGAAATCGGGTACATGCTGTTGTTGCGGCCAGTCAGTACCATTACTTTCACGAAATTCGCGTCGTAGTCCAAGCTGTTCTTGAACGCGGCTGTACGGTAAGTGCCGGTGCTTTTGTCTACCTCCACCAATATCACATCTAGAATACCGTCCTGATAAAAATCGTAGAACACCGCCATCGCCGTTTCGTTGTAAAACGGATTCAGCGCCTGCCACTTGACCTGAAATTTTCGACCGAACCCGACGCACGCATCGCACGCGACGTTTTCCAGGAAGAACGACTGCTTCTGCTTGCCACTGGTGGACTTCAACGTGGCCAATAGATCTGGATAACCGTCCATGTTGAAGTCGCCGCCGCGCAATGTAATCGTGTCGGTGTATCGTCGCCCATCGGGGTTTACGAAACCCCACAGCACGTTGTTCACGTCACGGAAGTTCACCTGCAAATTGTACCATTTACCGGAATACATCATGATGGTGCTGTTTGTGCACGCGCTGTCGAAACACAGTGGCAACAGCATGGTCATCTTGCCCGTTAATTCTACGTCCAGGTAAAGAGTTTGCCCGATTACGCCCGGGAAATTGTCTTCCGGCGATATGTTGTAAGGAAATGGTATGGTTTTGTAGTACTTGAAACCCTCCTCGATGCCAAGCCAAATCTCAAAGGACTTGCGCGTAGTCACCACTAGATCTGCTACGAAATCGTTATTCCAATCCAAGTAAGCATTAGAATGAGGTTGACTGATCGGTGAAAGTGATTCTGATCGCTCGTACGGTTCGATGGGCACGGCCTTGGGAGCCGTCCTACTCTGATCGAATATCCAAAATGTCCTTCTTTTCTTTTCGTCTAATCCGAACAGATCTATGATCATGTCACCGTTATAGTCCAACGCCAATGGTTGGCCTGTCATCTTTATCAACGGATGATCTTCGTTCGTACAGTTCAATCGGCCATTTCCACCCCAAAGCACGTACGCATATGACAATTTCTCCTTTGTATCGAACGTAATAACCAGGACGTCCATGAATACGTCCCCGTCAAAATCTCCAGGCACGACACCGACCACGATGTGTCGAAAAGTACAGCTCAGATTCGAGCTCGGTCTCAATAGTGGCTCCTGTTCAGCGGCCAAGAATATCTCAACGGTGGTGCCATTTTTCCGCAGCATAAACACATCGGTTAATTCATCAGAGTTGAAGTCGCCGAATGCAGCTGGCATGCCATCCAGTACGTCTCCAAACACTGGTGAAGTTATGTCGCTGCATCTAGTTGCCCCGATCGCCAAACCGATCAGGCACACGACCGTCCACCCGGATGGCATTGTTTCCTTCTTGTTATCTGTCAATTAAACAACCCTTATTTTCCTCAGGTTTCATCATATACTCGATTCCTTTCCCGAAACGTACATAATAGGACTTTGGATAAAAACACGTCTAACCTAGTCGCGGTTCTTCTTCGCTAAAAAATGCAACGATCCAGTTGTAACGAGTCCTGCTACGTCACTTCACGTTTCAGTGGCAAAATGATTTTACTGCTGCCCCGAATTTGATATGTCTTAAGGACTGGACAGTTAAATTAGTCGCTTGGAAAACAATTTCACATACTAACCCGCTTATGTCGTTCATGCTGATCTGACATATGACTCACTATTGCCACAGATTGCCAAAGACGAGATATAGAATAGACCTGATACCTTTGGGACTTTGTGTTCCGTGTTCTGAAATACCGATCGTGGAAACAATCAGAGATTCTCTGCTGCCCTCTACATTATGCGAACGGTGAATCTATGTTATGAATAGGGATGAATTGATACAAATAAATACGAGTACTTTACTCGGTACTTCTGTTTCGCTACCGAGTACTTTTGGTATCGATACCTACTGTTGCGATTCCAAGTAGGTATCGAACAAAAATACTCGTATCAAATGGACTGAGTATCGACCACGGTCGTATATACAGGTCCGGAACCAATTATATCCAATTATAACCAATTATATGGCTAGCAGTTTCAGCGTTACGCCACGGATGGCGCCACCAGTCGAAAAAATAGTGGTACTCCGCGATTAAATGCGATTTTTACAGTGTTCTGGTTGTTTATTGTTATTATCAATAAGAGTGGATTAATCTACGTACTGTCAGCTACAAATTGAGTGCTTCAGCTAAACGAAAAGGGATTCCGGGAATCGGGTGACGTCACGGCGTGCGAGCGAGAGCGGTAGAGCGAGCCGCGGTATCGGTGCTCTCCGTCGGTGTTGACGGGTGCCAAGGAATTTCGATGGTCTATGGGAGGGAGGTGTGCGAGCGAGAGAGTACGGTAGAGCGTGTCGAGTATCGGTGCTCTCCGTCGATCCAACGCGCTAGTGAGTTGCGTCACCCAGTTTATTGACTTGGCCGTGTACGCCGTGTACCAAGGTCGTACCAGCCCGTGCAGGTCTGTGCTTGCTTCCTCACTTTGTCGTGAACCGTCGCGGAGGGTGGTCGCGCGTCTCATACTCGTCCTTTCTCTTGTTACTAACCCATTGTTTGTTGCAGGCATTCGACAACCATCAATTTATTTACTGTGCATATTGTTGTGTCCCCTCTCTTGTTACTAATCCCTTGTATGTTACAGATGTTCGAGAACCATTGGCTTCGATATTTATCTTCTTATGTACTGTGATTCATTTACTGTGATTTATTTACTGTGCATATTATGTATTCTATGTGTATTGTATAATGAAAAATATTTTTCCAAACAGTTATTCCATCGAAAGAAGACATCGATCAACGTCTACATCTTCAAAGCGTGCGTCTACCACTGCGTTAAGTTACTGTAAGTTAAACTTAAATCATAATTCGATATTCATTGTTATATTCATATTCATCATCACATCGTTTATTATTAATTTTAGTCTATCTATTAATAGACTTAAATTGTGATCAGCCATTGTGCATACCAAGTTATTATTAATTCATTTTGCTCGTTGATTTCTCTACACAGACTTGGGGTATGGGCAGTGGGTCTGTACCTATTATGGTACGGGCAGTGGGCCTGTGCACTAAGACTGTTTGCCGATCCCTCTGGTTTCTATTGAGAAGCCAGATATCGGACGTGTTTAGTCTTTGCCTGGTAAGTAGGATTTGGAGTAAAGGCTCGTGCGCGCCTGGGTACAACGTACCCGCCTACGGAGTAGACGGGAGTCTGCTCCGTAAAAGGACTCTGTTTTACAGGGGATCTCGCTTGCACTACCATACTTGGTCATGACCTGTGCTCGGGTCTGGTACGTAGGTGACCAGCCCAAAGGGCCTGGAAAGTGAGAGATGGATTCGGGTTTGCGAGGTTGCGCCCGTCTTTCCTATTTTCTTAAACCAGGTTCTGGCGACAACACTTTCATCGCGATACTTGTTCATACTGTAGTTTAACGTGGTTCATCGTAGAATTAATTTTTGGCTTGGTATATGAGGTGCGCAAACGAAATGATCGATGGAACTTTTTCCATTCCGTCTATCTCTTTCGTTTGAGTATTAGCGACTACATTGCGTTAAATTTGTTATTTCGTATTACTAGCATTAATTCGTATTAATTAGAATATTAAGATAATATTAGTTCTAAGCTGAAGAACGAAGACAACCGACGAGGGAACTTAGTTTTTTATAGGTTTAGGCTCAAGAAAGAAGTCATCCGCCGAGGGATTTTAGTATCGGTAGTATTATATAGTTAAGATTTAAGTAATTTATAAGGTTTATTGTGAAAGGTGGGTAGATGTAGAACTTGTGATTCCATCTACTTGCCTTGGGCCTCCACTCGCAGCAACCTCCTCGTGGTGAGGCCTGGGCAATCGGTATTGTCATCGGTAAAATACTGTAAACTGAAGACAATATCGAGCCAATGGCTGCGAACTTCGAATATATCTCATGAAACTACGTTCTATATTACATCGAATTAGGATTATTTTAGAAATCGATATGAGATTCAAAGTGTAAAAATGTCCAGTACTTTGAATCTTTTAGAAAATTATTCGAGATAAAGATGTATGGAACTATTGAAAATCACTTCAGATTCCTTTTCCTTATTCTGTAAATTCTTTGATTGGAATATGAATGCTTACTACATCGAACGCACAGTTTCATCTATATAGAAGCATGTGACAATTTCAGAAACTGCTATTTCTTAAAGGATTGCATACAAATAATCAAATTACAAAACTGTTTCAGTTAGAGATGACGTGCAACATCACTAACAGTGATTTATCACAGTGATCGTAGAATCACGATCACGGTCGTGATTTAACTTCATTCACGACCGTGATTGCGATTTTTTTATCTT